AAATAAGTAAAAGTAGCGATTAATTAATAAATAGACAAAAAATTTAATAAATACAATTTTTTAAATATAAGTAGTAATAAATGAATACATACATAAATGGATGGAAAATACTGACAAGCAGAGGAAACTTTTTTAATTAAAAAATATATATATAATAAAATTAATAATATATATATATAATAAATTAATAAAAATTATAAGTAGTAATGAATAAATAAATAAAACAAAAATTTTAATGAATAAAAAATAAATACAATTTTAAATAAATGTAATTTAAAGTAAAAGTAAAATAAAAAATTACATGTAAAACATTGACAAGCAGACTAAACTTCATCAGTATAATCAGCGAAGAATTTTGAATCACATTTTTTATGACTAATTATAGAATAGGATTTGAGAAGTGTGTCTACCTCAGTCAAAAAAATGTAAAGAGATAAATATAAATATTTCTGTTTATGGGTAAAAAAAAAAAAAGACCAAACAAAAATAAATGGGAGATCTATTCTTTAGACGTATAGGATATATAGCAACAAATAATAGCTTTTAAATGTAACTAGAGATTTAAACATGGGAGTATAAATTCGATTTCGGAATAAATTGACAATAAAGTGTATTAATGTTTCATCCTCACAACCATGAAGTGGACAGGAGCTGGGGACATGGGCATATTCAGACGTTTATATTTACAGATATATGTTGTGCACGACTTTAAAGTGTTATTCTCTGGTCTTTTCGGTAAAACAGCAGCCGAGCTTTTCTTCCTCTCGAGTTTCTGTGAGTTTAGCTCACAATCTGTGCACCGCGTCGTCTCGGTCTCGCTCGATTCAGAGCATTATTTTCAATTCAGATAAATATGATTCATGCATTCGCTGCACTTCAGATATGAAAAAGCTCCTGAATTCTGATTTATTGGCGCTTAGCTGTGACCACATCAAGTCTCATAGTATTGTAGCTACATGTATGCATGTGCTTTGTTTCCATATCTAATCATATTTTGTGCGTGTTTGTGTTTTGCAGCCAGAGAACGAGGAGAAATTAATAACGTATGACAACATCGGACCCAACGTGTGTATGGGGGACCACAAGGTACAACTAACCTACCTCTCCAACTAGTTTGTGTATGAATTCAGATATACTTGGGTGAGAAAATAGTCTTTGGAAATGAGTTCAATCTGATTCAACCTAAAAATAATTCTAAAAGAAGGAGGAGGAGGAACACAGCGCTTCTGCTGTAGATAAGAGACACTCCTGACCAATCACTGATCAGTATGCAAATACATTCCAGAGAGAACACCAATCAGAATTCGGTATGCAAACGAGTCCTCTGCTGTTTGATGGATGCTGAAGATCCTAACAGTGTGAACGAGAGATTTTCATACGAAATATTACAGCACTGTTCTTATTCTAAATGACTTGTGGTTCTGGATATGATATTCTAAATACTCCGGGGTGTCTTAAAAATACCTTTTTAAAATGTATTTATTTAGTATGTTTTTTTATTATATTATTGGAGTTTTTACATCAAGTGGTTAAAGCTGAATTATAAAGAATAAAAAGCAATGTTTTTGGAACAGATGATAACTCCAGTTAAATATTCCTAAATTAAATAATCTATTTTTTGTTTTGTTTTATTTTATTTTATTATTTATTTTATTCTTAAATCTAGATCCTAAATCTTTTGTTTTTAGATTTAGATCCTCATAGTGAAAAAAGTGTGTGTGTGTGTGTGTGTGTGAGAGCGTTTGCGTGTGTGTGTGTGTGTGTGAGTGAGAGAGAGT